TGATTTGGGATTTGGGATGATTTTGAAGCTAAATGAGCTAGAGTATTTATAGTTGAAACTTAGGGACTAATCTTTGAAAATACTCTAAAGTGCAATGACTAAAGTGAATTTACTCATTCATATTTTCAACAAACATCTACCAAACTTTGAAAAACATTTTTCAATGTTGGTTGCCAAACTTTGAAACTAACTTTTAACAATCTCCCACTTGAAGACTGATTTTCTGTCTTCACACCTCGATCAATGCAGTAGTATTTCTGGTCTTGTTATTCTAGCATGCCAACTGAAGCTGAACACAACTTCAGTTTGTCCGTAGTCACCGTCTTTGTCAACATATCTGCCGGATTTTAAGCTCCATTAATCTTTTCAAGTTTTAAAATCCCATCTTCCAGAAGAGATCGGATAAAATGATATCTCAATTGTATGTGCTTCGTCCTGCAATGAAAAGACGGATTATTTGCTAGATGGATAGCACTTTGTCTGTCGCAATACAAGACATTGTTTTCTTGTTTCTTGCCTAACTCGTCCAAGAAACTTTGGAGCCAAACCATCTCCTTGCTAACTTCCGTAACAGCGACATATTCTGCTTCAGTTGTAGAGAGAGCAACTATCTTCTGTAGTTGAGAAACCCAACTCACTGCAGTTCCTCCTAGAGTATATACATACCCTGTAGTGCTCCTTCTGATGTCAATATTTCCGACTAAGTCAGCATCTACATAGCATGTCAATATCGTATCTCCACCTTTGAAACAAAGTGCTTTGTTTGTAGTACCCCGCAGATATCTGAGGATCCATTTGACTGCTTCCCAGTGTACCTTGCCCAGATTATTCATGTACATGCTAACAGCTCCCGCTGCTTAAGCAATATCTGGTATGGTACAAACCATGGCATACATTAGACTTCCAATTGCTGAGGCATACAACACCTTCACCATGTGTGCACGTTCTTCCTCTGTCTTTGCTGATTGTTCTTTGGAGAGTCTAAAATGAACACCTAAAGGCTTGCATGTTGAACCTGGAGAGTACTTTGTTGATGTACTCAACCTGTGATAACATCAAAGTCCCCGACTTTGTGTCTCTCTTGATCCTCATCCCAAGAATCTGCTTTGCAGCGTCTAGATCCTTCATTGCAAACTGCTTCGACAATTTTTGCTTCAAGTGTATAATATCTTGCATGTTTGAGCCTGCAACGAACATGTCATCAACGTATAACAATAAAATAATGAAACTATTATCGAACCTCTTGATGTAGCAACAATGATCTGCTTGGCATATGGTAAAACCACTGCTACCCATGAAGCTATCAAACTTCTTATACCACTGTCTAGGAGCTTGTTTTAAACCATACAAGCTCTTCTTCAACCTGCATACCAGGTTTTTCTTGTCTGCCTCTATGAAGCCTTCTGGCTGCCTCATATAGATTTCTTTCTCTAAATCACCACGAAGGAAAGTTGTCTTTACATCTAACATCTCAAGATGTAAATTCTCTGCAGCTACAATTTTCAATACCAGTCTGATTATAGACAGCTTCACGACTGGAGAGAAAATTTCATTGTAGTCAATACCTTCTTTTTGTTGAAAACCTTTGACAACCAATCTCGCTTTGTAGCGTTTGCTCTCATCGTGCTCTTCCTTGATCCTGTAAATCCACTTGTTGTGGAGCGCTTTCTTGCCTGGTGGTAATTCAGCTAATTCCCACGTCTGATTTGACATAAGCGAGTTCATCTCATCTTTCATTGAAGACTCCTACTTGACTGAATCCTCCACTTGCATTGCTTCATCATAGCACTCTGATTCACCATTGTCAGTCAGCAATAAGTAGTGCAAAGAATGAGAATACTGTTGGGTTGGTTTAGGAATTCTAGAGGAGCGTCTCAGTTCTGGCGTGCCTGGTTCTTCTTGAACTGCTTCAAGATTGATCTGAACATCATTTCTAGAAATCTCCTCGAACTCAGCAAATTCCTTTGTTTCAGCTTCAGTATTGGAGCTACTTGATTCTACAGTTGACCTGTCTTTGTACATCACATTCTCATTGAAAATGATTTCTCTGCTTCTGATGATCTTTCGATTTTCGTAGTCCCAAAACCGGTAACCGAATTCATCATCGCCATAACCAACAAAGGCACATTTGTTGGACTTAGCATCAAGTTTACTTCTTTCAGCAGAGTCTATGTATACATAAGAAATACAACCAAACACTCTTAAATGTGAAAGGTTTATTTATTTCTTGCTCCAAACTTCCTCTGGTATTATGCCATCCAAAGGAATTGAGGGCCCACGGTTGATCAGGTAAGTTGCAATGTTGATAGCTTCAGCCCATAGAAATTTGGGCAATCCAGCATGTATCCTCATGCTTCTGGCACGTTCATTCAGAGTTCTGTTCATGCGCTCTGCTACGCCATTCTGTTGTGGTGTCATGGGAACTGTTGTCTCCATCTTGATCCCATTGTTTGCGCAAAATTCTCTGAATCTACGATTTCTGTACTCTCCTCCATTATCAGACCTCAACCGTTTGACTTTCAGACCAGTGTCATTTTTCACCACGGCCTTCCATTTTCTGAAGGTATCAAAGACTTCTGATTTTTTCTTCAGAAAATAAACTCACACCTTCCTTGTAGAATCATCGATGAAAGTGACATGATATAATGAGTCTGCAAGAGATGGAACTGGAGATGTTCCCTATACATCAGTATGAACCAACTCTAACTTTTCAGCCTTGGGTGTCTTACCAATCTTTGCAAAAATGTCTTTCTTTTGTTTGCCAAAGATGCAATCCTCGCATAGTCCGACATCTACATTCTTTAGATCCGACAGCTTCCCTTTTGACAAAAGTGTCTTCATCCCTTTCTCGCTCATATGGCCAAGCCGTTGGTGCCATAGGTTTGATTTTCCATCAGCATCTGCTACTGCAATGATATTCTCTAAGTTTAAGGTTACATAGAGAGTACCAGTCTTCTTACCACGAGCAATGACGAGTGCTCCTTTTGTAATCTTCCATTCACAGCCTGAAAAAGTTATACTATAACCTTCTCCATCAAGCTGTCCTACGGAAATCAAATTTCTCTTTAGGCCAGGACTATGTCTCACACCTTTCAGTGTCCAAGTGGTCTGGTTTGGCAGCTTTAATCGGATGTCTCCTCTTCCGACGATCTTCAAGGTTTCATCATCAGCTAGATGAACCTTCCCAAAATCACCACTGACATAGTTTTCCATGATTTCTCGGTATGGGGTGGAGTGGAAAGATGTCCCTGAATCCAAGATTCATGATTCAATCGGACTGTTGACGCTTAGAATCATGGCATCACCTGTCTCCTCTGTCATGTTGGTAGATTCCTGTACGCCGGTATTTTTCTTTGGTGCTCAGCAATCTCTTTTAAAATAACCCTTCTTGCCGCAGTTATAACAGGTAAAATCTTTCTTCCCCGTTCTTGATTTTTCCCTTTTGGATTTAGATCTGCCACGATTTGAATTTCTTTCTGAAGTTCTCCCTCTAGACTCCGTGTGCAAGGCTGAGGAGGTTGATGCTTCACCCGATTCTCTCCGTCGAATTTCTTCGCTCAGTACCTAATCCCGAACATCGTCAAATTTTAATTTGGTGTTTCCCGACGAGCTGCTGACTGCTGTAACAGTAGCATTCCAACTGTCTGGTAGAGATGATAAGAGAATTAAAGCTTGAACTTCATCATCGAATTCAATTTCCACGGAACTCAATTGGGTTGTGATTGTGTTGAGTTCATTTAGGTGTTGAGTCATTGATGCCCCTTCCGCCATCCGCAAATTGAATAATCGCCTCATCAAGTGAACTTTGTTTGAGGCTGATGGCTTCTCATACATACTGGAGAGAGCCGCCATAAGACCCGTCGTGGTCTTTTCCTTTGCTATGTTGAAAGCAACATTACGGGACAACGTCAGTCGGATAACTCCGAGGGCTTTTCTGTCGAGAAGAGCCCAGTCTTCATTCTTCATGCCCTCTGGTTGCTTTCCTGAGAGAGGTTGATATAGATTTTTCTGGTACATAAATCTTCAATATGCATCTTTCAAAAGCCAAAGTCCGCATCATCGAACTTTTCAATTTTCACCTTCCCTTCGTCTGCAGCCATCGCTCCCACTCGAATCTGGCTTCGTTTGGATCGTTTCTGACAATTCTTGCGAACCACCGTGTATTAGAACACCACCGTGTAATGAATAGTAACCTCACAAAAATTGACAAAATTTACAATCAAAAGCTATGATTATCAGTTGTTTGGAAATAAACGAGTAAACAAGTATTTTCCCTATAACCAGATTAGTAAGAATGCGAAATAAAAGCGGAAAAATAATACCTGAAAATTGATAACGGAGTTCAACCAATTGTGCTTACGTCTCCGGACTGCTGTAGTTCTTTTACTAAGAGAGAAAATTTACAGATGTTTACAAAACACTCACTACTCACAAGAAATTCTTTAGTATTGGGAGAGAAATGATTTGGGATTTGGGATGATTTTGAAGCTAAATGAGCTAAGGTATTTATAGTTGAAACTTAGGGACTAATCTTTGAAAATACCCTAAAGTGCAATGTCTAAAGTGAATTTACACATTCTTATTATCAACAAACATCTACTAAACTTTACCAAACTTTAAAAAACATTTTTCAAAAAAATATTTACCAAACTTTAAAAAATATTTTTCAAAATTGATTGCCAAACTTTGAAACTAACTTTTAACATTCTCACGGTATTTATCTTTTTTTTCCTGTTAAATGTTTAATATTGCTATGTTATAGGTAAACAAGAGCTTTACATTATTCAATAGGTCTAATCGGCTGATGTAATTTGTTTAACTTATCGATAAACAGGTGTAGACTGACTGAGAATGAGTTTTTTTATCTGTATTTATCATTGAAACAGCAGTCAAACTAAGATGTGTGCCACTCAATCTCATGTGTAGATATATATATATACATAAAGAGTATGAGAACTTGCTTCAAGCAAAACATTGAAGGACTGGAGTTGCCCTCTTGGATTCCAAGTACTTTTTTACAGTCTGGTTTCAGTGTGCCACCATGTGTCATTGAGCTGCTAGAAAGTAATCACGGATAGTTTTACGTTTCAATGACAAAGGAGGATTCAACACTGAAGATGGGCTCGTCGTTGCAGATTCGGGTGTTTTCTCGAAGTTCTCATCCGAGTCTGAAATTGATGAGAACCTTCTCTTCTGGGCTTCGGGAGTTCTAAATAAAGATGCAGTGGCCGGAATCGGGTTAATTTGGAACAATGCTTCATCTAATGAATATGGACTACCAGGTTGCTTTATTTGAGTCATCGGTTCTTCATTCTCGTTCATGAATAGTTTACTACTTTCTGCAGTTGGCATGGTCGTTAATCTTCGTCGGATGGAAGACGATGATTTCTTGCTCGAGCAATATCTGGGTTCAATGTTCCATAACCGAACCTAAAAGATATTTGAAGAATGATTTAATCGTTCAAACTGACAGCAAAGGAAAGTTCTTGCAAAACAATGCTTAGTCTCATCGAATATGTTTCTCAAACTAGAAAATGAATATCAAATACGAACGCATTTTTTGAGAATTATATCAATATTTATATTTAAATACACATCAAACACATATTAGATGCAACTATGAAACGATAAGCTCAACACTTACCGTGAAATCATCTGATGCAGTTGCAATCATTCCCATCTCAGATGGGCACCTGTAAAAAAATGAAGATAAAACATTCAAAACTAGCAAACTGGCAATATACAATGAGGGAAAAGTGAAAATGGTTGAAGTGAAAGGAATTTTACCATTCTACTACAGTAACTTCTCCATGATGCCCTTTCAAGATGAGAGGCTCCACTTGAACCTTGTTTACCTTCCATGTATAAGCATTTCCATCACTTGAACCACTTAATATGTGATCTCCATCTGGACTGATCGCGGCCTGCAATTGCACATATATAGGAGACATTAGCAATCAAACAAAAGTACTCATGTGCTTGGGATTATAAATGTTTATAAGATGAAGAACTAAATTACTTGGATACAAGTGAATTCAGATACAAGTATGCAATTTAAAAAAAAATCATGTATATGAAGGTTTTTTTAGATCATATCATCAAACTCATATTCAAATATGCGCTAGATAAAAATATCAAATATGGATATTTTGAACATAAAATGAAACAGAGTGTACCTTCACATAAAAAGATTCTATTCGGCATACAGAGAAAGTTCGAATTGGGCCCTTGTCAAGCTGAAGTACATTATACAAGTATATCCTGTAAAAGGGGAAGAAAAAATTGCAGCCTAATTAAACAATCAATAACGATCAATGAATGTTTTTAGTTGGAGCACATCCCATGAAAACAGAAAAGCTGTCTCTACAGTTAAGTGAAGGCATCTTTAAATAAACAGATTCTCCTCAGAATCATTACCTGTTATCCATGCATGATGCTGTGAGAAACACTCCTCTCAAATCCTGGGACAAGCTAGATATACCCTGAAACGGCACCATTGACAAGTTAAATATAAATGACTCTAATTAAAGCTCTTATCTTTAGACCATGTTGCTTGAATTTGGGTTTAAGTGGGATTATAGGTACATGTTTGATAGAAATATGTTCAATTTATTTTTTTAGTTTTTCTATGCATTTGGAGAATCATTAGAGAACTACAGCAGTATAGCCACATATTTATATCTTAATAAACATTAGACATAAATGTCGAATGTGATTATTCAAAGAAAAAAGAAGAGTCGATGTGAAATAGTTATAGATCCCTATCAGTACTCTTGCAATCATCAATGGACAATTTGCAGAAAATTGCTGGATTTGACAGCACTATTTCTTTCATTAATAAAAAATGAAATTTCGTTCTTCATTATTTAGTAAAATACTGACTATGAAATATATTATTGGAGAGAAAAGACAACCTTTTGAGTTGAAGACTTGGGTTGCGGGCATGCCTGAGTAACATTAGATTTCAGATTTCTGATATCCCAGAACTTCACAACACTGAAATAACCACCATAATTAAGCGGGAGAGGAATTAAGTCGGCATGATATAGCCTATGCATAATAACTCAAAACGATCTTAGAAATGCCACTGAGTTTACAACTTACCTGTCTGCTGCTCCAGCCGTGGCAATGGAAATCTCATCTTTGAGATAAATAACTGATGTAATGCTGGAAGCAGCAGCCTGAAAAGATGTAAATAAAGCATTAAAAATTGCTTAAAGTATATTGAATAAACTTCAGCAGTGAGCAAACCTTGCCGGTTCTACCCCTCCTAGCTTTAGTTGAAGGATGAGCTCCTTTGACCGTGGAAGTTGATCTGAATCAAGTGACAATAACAGCAATGAATAGAGTGGTAATTATTGCCTGATATCAAAAACATAAAGCCCTAGACCTACGTTACTATGATACTTCATTTTTTTGAAGAATGCAAGTTTGATACTCATGTATCACACATGGATATGACATCTAAAAATTCTCCATATACATGAAAACTAAAAATCTAACTATACACATATCCAACACACAAACTCAACTCGGAGTAACATAATCCTAGACAACGCATGACAAAATAAGTTGCAATAACTTACTGGTGGCAAAGTTCATCGCATCTACTATTCGAGTCAATCTTGCATCTTAGGTCCCAAATGGCAAAGGACCCATCTCTTGACCCAGAGACAATAAGATCTGTTGGCAAATCAATGGTAAATGACCAGCTGTTTCTGAAGGAACGAGAAAAAAAAAAGATGTTCAAGAAAGGTACCAGAATTGGTTGGATGAGAATTCAAACATTTAACACTTCCCGTATGCCCCATCAAGACACCAGTGCACTTCTTATCCTGGGTATCCCATACCTTTATCTGCAAAATGTTCAAAAGGAAGACAATTCGCTCAATTTCATTGTTTCTTTCTCGTTGAAACACTTAAAACAAACTGTTTTATTGTGGCTGCTTACAGTTTGATCCCCTGAAGCTGTTAAAATGTGAGTACCTTCCTACAAAAAAATATCAGATTATTAGCATTACAGCATCGGCTAGAATTTTGCATGGTAATTATCTCTTCATCATCTTTCAGTTAAACCAAAAACAGATACATATGAACCTACATTACTCGAATTTGTGTGTGAGTGAAATATATATGGCTAATATGGATATAATAATATTTATATTCCCATATTTATGTTCAAAAATACACATCTACTTGGATTGTTGGATGTGAGATATAAATACTTCAAGAATAATGGGGAAAAAATAAAATCAACATAGACATTGCAACATATTTGTTCTCTTTTGCTGATTACTTTCAAAATGTTGGGATCAACCATCCATCGGATAGTGTTCTCCAACCAATAATTTTCAATGCAATCATATGAACCATCTTCAGGAATCTAGAGCCTGGCGCCTAACCCAAATTTGGATACTCCTAAGGTATGTATTTATATGACAGCCACACAGACGTTAACAAATATCCATTGGATATTTCAAGTGCAGTGTTCAATTCATAACTGCGTAGAAATAATAAAAAAAAAATGCGGCATACCTTGATCCAGCATACATCAAATATGGCATTTTGATGTGCTAGCCAATCACTGATTCTTGCTTTTTCTATACAGAATTTATTAGGAAAACAAAAAGAAGTCAAAATTAGTATTAGAACAAGACCAAACGTAATGGATTTTAGTTAAAAACCCCAACAATTAACCTGCATTTTCGTGGTGAGATGGAGCAGAAGAAAGCTTCCGACGAGAATCAAACAGGTTGACATATCCAGCCTCGTCAGATACGGCAAAAATATGGGAACTTTTACTTGCCTGAAATTGAGGATTTTCATTTCACATACAACAAATCTTATCAAACTAACTCAAACCCTTTTCTCGAGTGGGAAAATCGTATATAAGTTTAATATTATTTGAATAATTCATTAAAACTGGGAGAAATGGAGTACCTTGCAAAATGAGACGGCCAAAGGAGGCGTCTCCAAAACGTTATTTTCAAGGGCTCCGATTTCAGTAAAATCCGAAGCTAGTTCGTCAACCCATGCTTGTTTTCTAACTGCATTTTTATAATGAAGTCATCAGATAGAAGAAAATGAAGATAATAAAAATTGAGAGAGAGTGAGATTTACCTGGAAAGCTACTTAGTTGCCTGGATCTGACGCCATGGAAAAATGACATGGATTTTGACGAATCGATTTGCATTTTCTTTTTTTCCTTCAGAAATCAAAAGCTCGTAGAGAGATTTAAAGATGATAAAACTTGTAAAAATAAAGAAAATGGAATTAATTGGATATTGAGGTCTTTTACATTTTCCATTTGGATTACGCGCGAGGCAGTGTTCTTTGACTGTGGTTTGAGCAGGCGGGAAAATTCAAATTTGCTTTTCCGCGGTTTCCGCCTTACAGGCGGTAGGGTTCTTTTAGGATAAAATACACTGAAGGTCCCTCAACTATGCGTTTAATAATGTATGGAACATTTTTTTCTAATAATTGCAATTTATAGACCTCATCTATCGAATCATTTTTTAATTAAAAATTATTCATAAACGTATAATTGACCATTAAATATTAGATGAGATAACGTATAACTCTATCTACCAATTTATATAGACTCGTGCATAAATTAAGTGGTCATCGGTTCGAACATTAACAACCGTAGAGTATTCATACTTATAAACATTGAACATCTGTATCTTGGATATTTATGATACTTGAACTTAGAACATCAAAAAATAATAACTCTTTCACCATCAAAGTTGATTGATTTATATGTAAATTTTTTTTTTCTTATTTTATACTAGAAAAGTTACTGATATTTTAAAAATATATAAACTATCAAAGTCATATTACGTGTTTATTTATATATATCATTGATGATATAATCTGAGACTGATTTTGAGTAGGGATGGGACGCGTTGGGTTTCGGTAAATTTAATCCGACCTGAAAATTATACATCCTTCATTTGACTTGAGTCGATTCGAAAAATATATATGAATCTGATCTAATTTTTGGAGATAAAATTCGAACCCAATCGACCCGAAATAATATATTTATTAATACATATATTTTTATTCAATAAAAATATGAATCTAATTGAAAAAATAATATATAAACATGTATTATTGTAACTATCTCTAAATATATAAGGTAAAATTATATTTTTTTCTGGTTGAGTATTTTTCATCCTAAATATGAATTCGACCCTACCCAAACATAACCTCTAAAAAATCCAACTTGATTCGACCCAAACCTATTTTTTTTTTTATAAAAAACTCTGATCCAATCGAGTTAGATCTTGTCATGTTCGAGTCCTCTATCCATCCCTAAAAAATAAGAGGCATATGATTGCAATTATCAACTTCTCTTTTTTAATAATCTAAAGTATTTATATATAGTAGTATCTATTTTAAAGATTTTTAATCATTTAATAATAATTATTTAAATATTTTATAATTTTTGATACACAAATCTAAAATTTCTAAAATTAACAATCATACTTTTAATCATTAAAATATTTTAATTAATCAAAATTATAATATATTTGATTGTTTCGACACAAGTTGACTATTAAGACATAATAATTTGACATACATTCTTCCATTTAAGGTTGTATTAAGCCAGCCGATCGATTCGACCTTTTTGTCTATGTATAAAGGGTGAATAACGCTCAACTCCACTACAAAAAAAATTATATTTAAGGTGAATTATAAAATAATTTTAATACTAATTTCAAACTTTTAATGATTAGTAGATTAATGTTTATGTATAAGGCAAGTATTAAATATATATATATATACTATAGAGTTATAAAAAGTTTAAATTAGAATTAAACAATACTATAATATCATGAATATTTATAATTAAACTTAAAAAAAAAACTAAAACAATTCAACTCCATTCAAAAATAAAATTTAAATTTTAAAATAAATCTCATTAACTTTAATAAATCAATTTTTTAATTCAATTCAATCCAACATTCACTGTAATAATATATACATACCCAGCAAACTCCGGGAAAGATTTTAAGTAGGCCCCACACTGAGCATATTGTGGGACCCTCCAGCGCGGAAGGTTGACCCTATGAGCACAATTGTCTGAACCTCTTTAGCATCTTACTTAAGCTTAATATGAGAATAGATAAATTATATCATTCCTCACTAAATTACATTATATCTTTTATTTTACTAATCGTACTTTTAATTTTTTAATTTACTCAATAAACTTTTAAATTGATTATATTTTGATCTCTCTGAATTATTTTATTATTATTTTTGTATGATGTGATATTTTTATTATTTAATATAAAATAAAAACATAAGGTAGTCAGACACCACCATTAGTTGTTGTCGACCGTCGTAGATGGTGGTCGTTCAGTCCCAAATTTAAAGGGAAGCTTTTTCCTTGACATAGTGAGTATGAATTTGATATTCATTTTATTAGAACTTGCTCCGAAGTCCATGTATTGAAGATTGAAAGTGAGGAAGTCGAAACGTTTCAGTTGAGTTTCACGAGTTTTTGGACATTTTTCGGTGAAACAATCACCAGATTCAGACTCAAGGTCGAGACAAATCGACCCATGAAATTTGGGATCGAATAACCACCATTTACGATGGTCGACAGTTACCGACAGTGGCGTCCGACCACCTTCTATTTTTATTTTATATTTTCAATTATTTTATATTAAATAATAATAAAAAATGGCATATCATACAAAAGATAATAATAATAATAAAACATTCAAAGTGATCAAAACAGGAACAATTCGAAAGTTCAGTGAGTAAATTATAAAAGTTGACAGTACTGTGAGTAATATAAGATAGAGAGTAGAGTTCAGTGAGGAATGGTGTAATTTACCCTATAAAAATAAGTGTTTAAATTATGTTGTTTTTTATTCATTTAGATGCCTAAATTTTTTTTATCAATTCAATTGCCTAATGTTTCCAACGTTATACTTTTAGGTGTCAAGGTTGTATGATGTTAAATTCTCTCGTTAAGTGCCACGTGTCATACTAAGAAAATTTTAAAAATTTTATTTAAAAAATATAAAATTTATAAAGGCGAAACATGTCATTTAATGATAGAATTTAATGGCAATAACGTACAAGCACCTAAAAGTATAACGTTAAAAACGTTAATCATCTGAATTGACCGAAAAATAGTTTAAGCACCTAAACGAAAAATATATATATATAGCTCGAACACTTATTTTTATATTAAGTATCTTGTTTATACTAAGTATTTATTTAAATTTTAGTGGTGAATTGATTTATTTATAATAATTATTTTAATTAAGTAATTAAGTTATATGTTTACAAAAATAACTTATTTACAATTAAACTAAAAAATAAATGTTTGGGGATTTATTTTATCCAAATTGTTAAGAAGGTTTTTCTAGTTCCCCAAAAAATATAATCAGAATGTATTTAAATTTATGTAGGTAATATAAAATGTTTAAGTTTAATAAAAACAATGCATTAAATATAAAAACACATCTATTCCGAATTTTTATATAAATATTTTTTATCTTTCATTTTAAATTATGAAAGAAAAAAAAGAAATTAAGAGAATCTTCATTTTGAGTTGACGAATACCTTTGAATAATCAAAGATTGGAAAAAGGGTTGGTTTCGGGATTAATGTGGAAAAAAAGAATTCAAGGACTAAATTAAAAAATCTTAATAAGCCAAGGGACTCGATGACGTTTTATTCCTTATTTATTTATTTGCTCATGGCTTGGGTTGAGAGGACGAACGCTAAGAATGTGTAAATGATATGATGGCTTTAAGCTTTTGCTAATAGTTAAGTAGCTTTTGTTTTTCCACTTTAATTTTCTTTCGAAAAGCGACGAAAAAAATTAACAGAGAACGTCAACTTCCATTAATAAAATTAATTTTTGTTTATAAACCAAAGTTGTTTTCTGATTCTTTTTCTTTCATTTCTCTTGTTTGGATCGGATCTTGAGCAGTTTCTTACGTGGAGAGAAAATTACACTGTTCTGTTCAGTCTTGAAGAACAGTTTCTTTTTAAATAATTTCTGGGTTTTCCATTTCATGGAAAATCTCACCTTGTCCTGCATTCTTTTATCTGTTCTGTGATCAGGTAACGTGGTTTTGGCATCTTTAAACTTCCTTTTCCTATGATGGGTTCTTCTCTTTTTCTTTATTGATCAAGATTATATATGTATTATGTATATGTATATATATAAGCTTGTTTTTAAATTTCCAGTTTGAATTTTGGCCTCTTTAAGATTCCATGCATTTTCTTAGTAACTAAGAGCTTTGGGTAGAATTTATTTGATTGCTAATTTACAGTTTATGCATATCTGGGCATCTCAGTGATATTTGGTGCTTTCTTTAATTGCAAGGTATGCTGGTGATTATGTGTTGTTTGAATTCATTACCGCAACTTCAATTTTTCATTTCTTGGTTTCGAAAAGATTCTTTGTATGCATCTGTTTGCATTTTAGATTTGCTGAAATTTGACTTTGGTTTAGCATCGATAGTAGTTGTTGAATTGTTCGATGGAATCCCTTGTTTCTTCATCAAAAGATCAAAACCCAAGTTATTGTATGGGCAACAATAGTCCTCCTCTGACGTCTGATATGCCTAGGAGACCTTCTCGGCCTCCATTGCCGAAACACTCAGAAAACGAAGGGCTTTCTTCTAAGTATCATGGTGCGAGGAACGAACAACATCCGGACGGTTCGTTGTGTTCTCAAAGGAATTCATTTGAGACAGCATGTGGCAACATGGTGTGTGAAGAATTGCCTAATGTGACAAAACACTACTATGATTCGAGTGAGATGAAATCCGAATTGGTGGGGAAGATTTTGGCAGCAGCAAACGAATCTTCCTTCAAACGTCCCGTTGATGATTGTAAGAGTTCCGATTCCATTGCTTCATCGGAATATAGAGCAACTCTGCAGTGTGTACATTATTATGATTCAAGAAAGGGGATATCCAAATCAGCAGGAAAGATTTTGACAATGACAAGCAAAGCTTCCTCCAAGCATCCCATTGATGATCCTAAGAGTTCTAGTTCCATTGCTTCACCGGAATATGAAACAACTGTGCATGGTGCACATTATTATCATTCGAATAAGGGGAAATCCAAAGCAGCGGGGAAGATTTTGACAGTGGGAAACAAATCTTCATTCAAACATCCCATTGATGATCACAAGAGTTCCAATTCCATTGATTCGTTGCAATATAAAAAAAACGTGGCTGGTGAACAAT